AGTGAGGGGACAAAAGCTACATTGGGTAACAAGGGGGTTCTCTCAGATTTTGGGGCAAAACAGGGGTGAGGGTGAGAAAAAGTTTAGGAGGGTCCTAAGTTGAGGCTGTGGATGTGCTGAGTAAGTATGTGGCAGGCAGAATCATGGGCAAAGGCCCTGGGGTTGAGGGGCATGATTTCTTAACAGATTAAGTTAGCTGGGGGTTAGAGACAGCTCTTTCTGTCAGGTGGAGGTCTACTGAGGACAGGAAACTCACAAGATGGTTATCATGTGTGAGTGTCCCACTGCCATGAGTCCAGCCCTCCAGTCTTGTCATTTGTTAACTGAGTCATTAGCCACCCAGGGCTGAGGAGAGGCGACTGGAGCCCAGGGAGGGTGGCGAGTGTGCCTGTGTCACACAGCTCTGTTGGATCCCAGAACTTTTATTTCCACTGCCTGCAGTTTTATCTCCCTCCATTGGGCCGGCCCATCATCCTTAAAACCCAGGTGACTTATCAACTTACCAGGTAGTCCAGCGATGGTGACACAATGTCCCACCTCGTAGAGGAGCGGAGGAGTCCCAGGGCCCTAGTGTCCAGCCCAAGCCTTGGCCGCAGAAGGTAGCCAGCTTTGTCCCTGAGGGTGAAAGGATGGATAGTGGCCCAGTAGCCCCGTGCTAGCTTCTAGAAAGGAACAGTGACATTGCTGTGAGGATTGAGAGCTCTGGCTGGGCCTGAGTGATCCTGTCTTCCTAATCTAGGGTAATGGCATGGACATGAGTGGTTGTGATGGTACTGGGGGACGCTTGACCAGCCTGGTTCTAGAGGAGTCATCTGCCAGGGCTAAGCTGCTGCAAGCAATGGTTCCCTGTTGATTTCCTCATCTATCATGGTGGTCAAGGCCAGACACTTATTTCTAGGCCCTGTCCCTGTCCCTTGAGCAGAGCACAGTCAACATGGGGATGGAAGCCTGGGTCAGCACAGCTGAGACACTCTTTGCTCTGTACAGGACTGGTATGCTCCACTGTGTCCTGGAGGTTCCTGGGAGCCCTGGGCACTAGTCATCTTGTCACATAAGAGGGGAAACGGAGGCTCAGAGAAGACACTCACCAAGCGTCTCAGAGTGGGCTATTCTCATCCAGACCACCACATACTGATGTCATGATAGAAGCCACACCAACCACACTGCTAGGCCTGGGCTCCCCTCTGTGGGAACCTGCTATTGCCCCAGCCATGCCTATGAGGTGCATCCATTCAGCTTCATGTGTGGGGGCACAGGCCTTGGGCCAATGGCTGCCAAGAGCAGTGCTTTATACCCTGGGTCCTGAGTCAGACCTGCTCCAGGTCTGCTGAGGACCAGGACTGTGTCCCCTCTTTTGTCCTGGCCCCAGTTTCCCTCATAGGAAGACTGGAATCCAGCTGACCCTGGGTTTGTCTTTTCATTTTGGAGATGCCAAGTTTCTGAGTCCATGAAGGGCAGAGGCACAACCCCAGCCGAGTCAACCTGTCCACTGAAGCTAAAGCCTGAAGAAAAAGATTGCCCACATGGCTCAGACAGTCTCTCTCCAGCTCTGATCTACTGCCTCTACTCCCCAGTAACCTCTGCCCACTGGTGCTGCTGGCTCTTCTCCTTCCTTTCTGTCCAAGGATTCATGGGAAGGACCGTCACACAGCCTGCAGCCTGCAGCCTGCTAGACTGCTTGTTGCCAATGCGGCACAGATCTGGAATGTGTTCCCTGCCTGTGCTGTCTTGCCTGTGTTGCTGCATGGCTCCCAAACTGCCCCAGGGCTCAGCACCATCATGATCTCAAGCTCTGGGAAGCTGCCTTCATGCTTCCGTCCTCCCTAACACACCCTAGGATGTGTTTTGGGTCCTTGGTTGAGTTCAGTCTCCTTGATCCTTGGGGGTAGGCAGCAGGTAACTGTGCCACACTGTCACACCCAAGCTTGTCCCCTCCCTGTGGTCAATCCTCTGGTGGAGGTGCTCTCCATTTGTCTCCCTGCTCACCATCCTAGCTGCTCTGAGTGTTTGAGGAGCACCCTCATGAGAGCAGGGGAGGATGGTTTTGTCTATATGACCCCTGACACCCTCATGCCCAACCACTGCACACCTGCACCTTGATAGGGTGAACATCTGGGCAGGGGGCCAAGTGCTACTGTCAGCATCTTTATGGCCTTGTCCTCCTCCCTGCCAGTATTAGGCCTCACGGATGGTGGGCAGACAGCCCAGCATGAGGACAGGGCAACTGACGCATTCAGGACATGGTGATGGGTGCCTCCTCCCCACTATGAATGAGTCACATTGAGAGTAGGAGCTGGGCGTCAGCCTAAGCCATCCTGGGGAGCAGAGCACTAGGACAGGGCCACTGCAGGGTTACCCTGTGGGTTTGGGGGACTTATGGGGCCTCTGTCTACCCTGGCCTGTCTTGGAAGGGCAGGGAGGGCAGGGTAAGGTGGGACTAGCACCTCTCCAAACAAGGGCCCCTCTCAACCCCTCCCTCGGCCTCTTCTTGTCCCCTGCCTGTCTTCCACAGCTCCGTCTGGCCTGGTCTTAGCTAAGGTGATATTAGTTTAGCTTGGGTCTGAGCAGGGGGTTAGGGGTTAGGGTGGGGAGGATGAAGACTCTGTGTGGCTGCTTTTATATCTTTTATATGCATGCACACACACATGTGAGCAGCACATGTTTAAGTGGCATAGAGGGGGTGGGTAATCGCCATCTTTTCCAAGGTCCCAAGCATGCATGCCTGCTACCCCTCTGCACACGAGCATGGGTCTCTTTGACTGACCATAGCTGCACATGTCCTGTGCACACACATAGTCATGCTTATTATGTGCCAGCCTTCACACTGTCTCAGTGTGCCTATCCTTGCCCTTGTGTCTGTGCACTGAGCCAGCCACATACCTGTGTGTGCACCTGCATACCAATGTGGTCCCCAGACTGAGGGGGTCTGTGTTACAGACTGAGGGTTCTCGGACATGCTGGTTCCTACTTCTCAAGACACCAAGTGGAAGAACTTTACTCCTCTGGGACAATCTGTCTACGCCAGTGGGAGGGGAAACTAAGGCTATGTGTCATAGGATCCAAACTCCAGCCCTGACAGCTTTGTGTGGTACAGGTGTAGACGGATGAGCTAGCTGTCAGTTGTCCAGGCAGCCTTGTGACACCCACACTGGACCTGCAGCGGGGAGAACGGTGTGTCAGGCTGGCCTCAAAGGTCCCCATCGTGCTACAGAGCCAGCCTTTGACTCAGGCTGTACCTCATCTCCTGGTACCTCAGCACGCACTACCAGGACTCCCTCCTGGTGTCCCCTCCCCCTCTTCTCTGCTGGGTTCACTTTAACACAAAGTCTGGACATTGTTTTCCCTCGAAGGGCTCTTTCCTGGAATCTCCCCGGGGGAAGCAAAGGTGGAGGGGGCTCTTGTGGACATTGTTCTGGCTTTTTTGTTTTTGTACTTATTGTCCTTATTGGGACACAACTGTCTAGGACCCTTGCAGTTTCTGGAGTCTGGAGCACAGGGTATGAGCTGGAGCCAGGTCTGGCGGCTTGCAGGAGACCCAGCCAAATCTCCTCAGGACAAACTTTGGGACTCACTTTCTTCCTGGGAAAGTGAAGGATGAATCGGATGGACTCTGGGCTATGACCCCTGTCACTGTCCTGTCCTCTGTCTCAGGGTGAACAGCCAAGTCACCTTGCTGCTTCCCATTAAATGGCCCAGGAAAGGATTGGGTTCCCTCACACTGTACAGAGGTGCAGCAGCTAAGAGACTGTGATTTAACCAGATCAGGCTCTGAGGGCAGGGCCGCTTGACTCCTGACTCCATGGGGACTCATGTCTCAGGAGCCTTGGGGGAAAAGCCCTGTCTGGGCCTCTGGTTCTGGAAGGGGATATAAGGATTCAACCATGTTTGTCCCAAGTCCTGAGCCTCCTTTGGGATCAGCATGGTCTCCTTGGGAGAACTCTATAAGGAATGTGTTTAGAGTCCCTGACTCTTGGCTCTTCTCCTTTAGCCTAGTTATGCCCATAGGACCAGCCTCCTTCTGCAGAGACCCTGGTCCTTGCACCCCACCACAAGGGATGCCAACTGCCAGCATGTTCTGCTCCCCTCCCCCATGGAAGCTGAGACAAGGGAATTATTTTTGGAACAAGAGCGGTTACACAACAAATGAATTATTTATCTTTGGGCATGGAGAATGAGGCGTTTTGCTGGGCTTCTTAATTCTCATCTGGATTTTGGGGTACACACTTGGATGCGTGGACATGTCTATCATGTACACAGATGTTAGGGTGTGCGCGTGTATGTTCCCCTCCCATGTGCATCCCATGGAGCTTTGATTTTGTAGGCTTTGTGCAGGCCAGCAGTTGCATGTGGGCACACTGTGCTGGGTGTGCCCTGAGGGTGTCGTGTACTTGTGTCCACCCATTCCTCTCAGTGCTCAGACTACCCCGTCCCCCGCTGTAACTCTTCCCTGATTCTCTCTTCCCTGGCTTGCCACCCCCAGCCCTCCCTTGCTTTAAGGAAGCAGGGATCATGGGGTACTTGATGGTGCAGAGTCCCTTGTTCTAAAGGGGTGTACAAGAGGGTTAGGAGCCTACACTGGATCTGAAGGGGTGAGTCTGGGCCCTCACACTGATCTGTCATTCTCTTTTGATGCCACCTTTTAGGAACTAGGTGACAGATGGACTTCTTCCTTCCTGTCTCCAACTCGCTCACTGTTCCTCCTCAGTGTTGTACTCCTGGCTCTTGTGGGATCTGCTTGAAGTTCTGAGCCCAGAACCCAAGGGGAAGGAGGAGGAAGAGCAAGAAGAAGTTGAAGCCTGGGAACCTGCATTCCCAGCAGGAACCTAGAGCTGCAGCAACGCCTAGTGCCTGCTTGTAGCCCTTCAGAGCAGCAGGTGCCAGCTGTGTTCATCGTGCCCAGGGCCCCTTGCTGGAGGTCACCCCCAAGATGGTGGCGGCTCCAGGGAGGACTGTGCTACCAGCCCCATCCTCTGGCTGCTAGGTCCCTCTGTTCTCTGGCCCTTCAGGGGCCGAAGCCTGGGGCCATGCTGCGCCTGGGGCTATGTGCGGCAGCACTGCTGTGCATGTGCCAACCTGGCGCTGTGCATGCTGACTGCTGGCTCATCGAGGGGGACAAGGGCTATGTGTGGCTGGCCATCTGCAGCCAGAACCAGCCACCATATGAGACCATCCCCCAGCACATCAACAGCACTGTGCATGACCTGCGGCTCAATGAGAACAAGCTCAAGGCTGTACTGTACTCCTCACTCAATCGCTTCGGGAACCTCACGGACCTCAACCTCACCAAGAACGAGATTTCCTACATTGAGGATGGTGCCTTTCTGGGCCAGACAAGTTTGCAAGTCCTTCAGCTGGGCTACAACCGGCTCAGCAACCTGACTGAGGGCATGCTGCGTGGCATGAGCCGCCTGCAGTTCCTTTTTGTCCAGCACAATCTCATCGAGGTGGTGACACCCACTGCCTTCTCCGAGTGCCCCAGCCTCATCAGCATTGACCTGTCCTCCAACCGCCTCAGCCGTCTTGATGGAGCCACCTTTGCCAGCCTTGCCAGTCTGATGGTATGTGAGCTGGCCGGAAACCCCTTCAACTGTGAGTGTGACCTCTTTGGCTTCCTAGCCTGGCTCGTGGTATTCAACAATGTCACCAAGAACTATGACCGCCTGCAGTGTGAGTCGCCAAGGGAGTTTGCTGGTTACCCATTGCTTGTGCCCCGACCTTACCATAGCCTCAATGCCATAACAGTCCTGCAGGCCAAGTGCCGCAATGGCTCAATGCTTGCCCGGCCTGTGAGTCACCCCACACCCTACTCCACGGATTCCCAGAGGGAGCCAGATGAGAATTCAGGCTTCAACCCTGATGAGATCCTCTCGGTGGAACCACCAGCCTCATCTACCACAGATGCATCTGCGGGACCTGCCATCAAGCTGCACCAAGTCACCTTCACCTCGGCCACCCTGGTTGTCATCATCCCACACCCTTACAGCAAGATGTACGTGCTGGTCCAGTACAACAACAGCTACTTTTCTGATGTCATGACACTCAAGAACAAGAAAGAGATTGTGACGCTGGACAAGTTGCGGGCACACACTGAATACACCTTTTGTGTCACCTCACTGCGAAACAGCCGCCGCTTCAACCACACCTGTCTGACCTTCACCACTCGGGACCCTGTGCCTGGGGACCTGGCCCCCAGCACCTCCACCACCACACACTACATCATGACCATCCTGGGCTGTCTGTTTGGCATGGTCATTGTGCTGGGGGCTGTCTACTACTGCCTGCGCAAGCGGCGCATGCAAGAGGAGAAGCAGAAGTCTGTCAACGTTAAGAAGACTATCTTGGAGATGCGCTATGGCGCTGATGTGGATACCGGTTCTATTGTGCATGCTGCCCAGAAGCTAGGCGAGCCACCTGTGCTGCCTGTGGCCCGCATGTCCTCTATTCCCTCCATAATTGGGGAGAAGCTGCCCACCTCCAAGGGGCTAGAGGCTGGGCTAGACACACCCAAGGTGGCTACCAAAGGCAACTATATTGAGGTGCGCACAGGTGCTGCAGGGGACAGTGTGGCCCGGCCTGAGGATGATCTCCCAGACATTGAAAATGGCCAGGGCTCAGCTGCTGAGATCTCTACCATTGCCAAGGAAGTTGACAAGGTTAACCAGATCATTAACAATTGTATCGATGCCCTCAAGCTGGACTCGGCCTCTTTCCTAGGGGGTGGAAGTGGCGGTGGGGACTCTGATCTGGCCTTCGAGTGCCAGTCCCTCCCTGCAGCTACTGCTGCCTCCTCAGCTGCCACCTCTGGGGCTCTAGAGCGGCCCAGCTTCCTGTCACCCCCCTACAAGGAGAGCTCCCATCACCCACTGCAGCGCCAGCTGAGCGCTGATGCTGCAGTGACCCGCAAGACCTGCAGTGTGTCATCCAGTGGCTCCATCAAGAGCGCCAAGGTTTTCAGCCTGGATGTGCCAGACCATCCAAGCACCACTGGGCTGGCCAAGAGCGACTCCAAGTACATAGAGAAAGGCAGCCCCCTCAACAGCCCTCTAGACCGGCTTCCACTGGTGCCCACAAGCAGCAGCGGTAGCAGTGGTGGGGGTGGTGGCATTCACCACCTGGAGGTGAAACCGGCCTACCACTGCAGCGAGCACCGGCACAGCTTCCCAGCTCTCTACTATGAGGAGGGCACCGACAGCTTGAGCCAGCGAGTGTCCTTCCTCAAGCCACTGACCCGTTCCAAGCGTGACTCCGCCTATTCCCAGCTCTCCCCCAGACATTACTACTCAGGGTATTCCTCCAGCCCCGAGTACTCATCCGAGAGCACACATAAGATCTGGGAGCGCTTCCGGCCCTACAAGAAGCACCACCGTGAGGAGGTGTACATGGCTGCTGGCCATGCCCTGCGCAAGAAGGTCCAGTTCGCCAAGGATGAGGACCTGCATGACATCCTTGATTACTGGAAGGGGGTCTCAGCCCAGCAGAAGCTGTGACCCTCTCCTCCCCCACCGGTGAGGTGAGGGGGAGGGCAGGGGCACTCGGGGGATGGGCCCCGCCAGGGTGGCCGGGAGGCAGGGGACAGGCCAAGGGGTCCGGGCCAAGGGGCCCGGGCCTAGGAGTGGACGTACATGCACACCCGCACACACACACCCACACACACACTTGACCACCACCTGACTGTGAAGCAACCAACACCCAACAATAATGGACAGGAAAACAAACATTTTCCTTAAAGTTTACAACCTGCTACTGAAACCAGTTGTCTCTACTGTGCTGCCCAAAGGGACTCACTGGGCTGGGGAAAGAGGTCAGAGAGGGTGTGGGGCCCCGGGACTTAGGAAGGTTTGGTGGAAAAAGAGTTTGGGGTAGAAGCAAACCATAGCCCTCTTGTTCAGGGAGGGTACCCTCCCCAAGCTGGGGGACATGTCCTTTGGAGGTTGGCAGCATGTGGACATTGGGCATCCTCTCCTCCCACTTTATGGATGGTCCAGAGAGAGGAAAAGAAGGTCCAGGGGTCTCACCTAATAGGTTACAGCTTCCTGGCCCAGTGCTGGCCCCTCCTCTAGCTGCTCTTCTGGGCCCTGCCCCCCTCCACTCTCTACCCCCTTCCAAAGCTGTGGTCTCAGGGGTTTAGGGACTGAGGCAGGCAGGTGCTTTTCTTCTCTAGAAAGTCCATAGGCATCCACAAGGTGAAAGGCTCTAGTCCCTAGCCCTGGGTGGTCAAGAGCAAGGAATGTCCTTCTGACTAGAGAGAAGCAGAGAGAAAGGGTGCCACCAAGCCGCTTCAAGTGTCTTCCAAGTAGCCCTGGGGAGCTGCCTGGGGGTGGGGTGGTGGGTATACCTGCTTCCCACTGGTTTCTCAGGTACAGGCCCCCCCATGCCACAGCCCCTAGTTTCTCTGGATCTCTGGGATTCCTACCCACTACAGAGAGGCAACAGTGAATGGTAAGGCCGGGGCCAGTGTGGGGTTATGGAACGGGGGGGGGGGATTTCTCCCTGCACCCTGTACCCACACTTGCTTGGTCCCTGCTGTGTGCAGCATTTTGGCCTGCCCAGGAGGGCGTCTGCCCCCCCCACCCTGTCTCACTCCCTGGCTAGAGGGGCTCCATGTTTCTGTGGAAATGGCCACAGTCCTCCTTCTGACCCACTCCCAACACCAATCAAAGCACAAACAGTGAGGGGCCCCCTACTGCCCCGTCAGGGAGCAGGCCACGTTCCCGGCCCCTCCCCTTTTCTAGCTAGTCTGTTGCCATGGCAACCCAGTGCCTGGCAGTTGGTGCCCAGAACAACCAACTGACCAACGGTTGGTCTCTGGAGTTCTCTTAGTGTGGGTCGCAGCAGAGGGTGGTAAAGGAGGCCTGGACTGGCGGCAGCTCTCTCCAGAGCCAGGAGCTTCCAGGGACAAGCTCTGGAGGCTGCTCTGGAGTCCCGAGACTAGGCCAAGGCATTGTTTTTGCCTTTGAGTAGGCAGTGGACCTGTGGGGCATGGGGGCAGCTGTACTGGCCAGTTGTGTCCCCTGCCTGTGTGCCCTTTGGCTTGCCATTGAGATAGGGAGGGGCCTTCTCAGCTCTACCCCAACCCTTCCAGAGACTCCTCACCCCTGAGATGGGAGAGTATGACTGTGGAGTGAGGGGAGTAGGGGTGTCATGGCACTTGACCTGTGAAGGCTCTGGCCAGGAGAGCGAGGGCTATCCTTGGGGGTGGGGTACGGGGAAAGACTGGAGTGGGGAGACTTGACTGAACACATCGACTTTGCGGTGGGCCGAGCCCAGGGCTCACTCAGGGGTGACATTTGCAAAAAAAAAAATAATAATAAATAAAATAAAATAAAAAAGACTGTTCTCCTGGGGAGAGGAGGGGACTGGCCAGCCTGGATGTGAAGAGCAGAGCTCCCCCAGCCACAAACTGTCCTCACCCCACCCACTACCCACCACCCTGAGAACAGCAGGCAGGCCTAGAGGCCAGGGGTATGAGCAAGCAGACCCCTGTTATCTTTGCATGACGATTTTACTGTATTTTTTTGAGCAAACATCTGTCGTGTATGTGCCAGTTTGTCCAGACTCCCCTCCTCACCCCCATTTCCCTCCATGTGATCCGAGCAGCTCTTGAAACCCAGGGAGGACCAGTTCTGCAGATGACCCAAAACAGGTGCCACCAACATAGCCCAGCCTGCCCAGCCTTCTTTCATCTTTCTGGGCCCACAAGCGCTGCCTGCTCTCTAGCTTCACGACCACCCCTTCCTGTCTGTGTCCCATTCCGTCCTTGCTAGTCCTTTCCCTCCTCTCCACCAAGGAAGGCAGTCTCAAGGGGCTGTGTGAGGATCCTTGTCAACCTGTTCCCATTTGGAGATGAAGCTGGGGACCTCTGAAGGACCTTGTCTGGCAGCTCAGGCAGCCACACAGGATGGGGAGGGCTGTCAGCCATACTGAGTACAGGAGGCCAAGAGCCTGGAGCTTCATGGAGAGGTTTGGGGCCCTGCAGGAGGGGAGTGGGCCTTGTCATGCCCAGGGAGGACCCCCACAGTGGACTGGGCTCTGTCCCCTTTATTTGGCCATCATTCCTGGATGAAGATAACTTATAAAATCTCAGATGCCACTCAGAGGATCCATTTCAACAGTGGGGCCCATACCACAGAGATCTTTGAAAACATCAAAGGCATAGGCACTTCTGCCCCACTCTCCAGCTGCCCTGGCCAGTCCTCTGGCATGTTCTGTGTACTATCTAGGATGGCTTGTCCCTGGGCAGAAGTGAAAATCAGAAAAGACAAATGCATACTTACTCCTTGGGTCCAAGCTAAGCCCCTGGCTTTGTAATAGCCACGAGGTCTGGGTTGAGGCTTAAAGGCAGGCCATGGTTAGATTAGGGGCACAGGAAGAGGAGGAATTCAGGGGTTTCATGGAGTCATTTGGGGGACACGTGGGTTGGAAGTCACAACTGGGCTTCTCTGTCCTGGTAGAGAACCACCCATGAAGCCATCTTTGTTAGATTGTGTGGCCGTCTAGAAATAAAAAAACTTAGTCTTAGCGGGTTCAGGGAGCCTTTATCAGCTTGATGCTTCCTAGGAAAGGGCTCTGCTGTCACAAATCACCCTATGACTTTGTACTCCCTCAAGCACAAAGAAGGAAGCTCTGGGGTAACCCATGCAGGGCCAGAGGGACTATTGAGGATGGTGGCTAGGGTAAGCCCTTGGCCACCTTAGGAAGACTTGGGCAGCACAGGGGAGCCAGCTAGTGATGGCAGTGACATTTGGGGCTGGCCATGGCCTTCCATGTTCCTGATTAGAAGTCACCTGTGCCCACAATCCAGACAATGTAAGTCGTTGAAGGGGGCATAAGCACAGGGGAAGGGGAACTTCTAGATAGGTCCAGGAAGATGGGACAGATAGGGACAGAAGCAGCAACCCTCCCAACCTCCCAGTTAATGAGGGGATGAAACTGGAGGGTAGAAGATGCAGTCCCCTGAAGAGAAAGAAGGGATGGGGTGAGCGGGGCTAAGTGGTCTCATCCCTCCAAGGAGATGACAGGCAACAGAGAGGAGGAGCCAATGTTTTGAAAATGAACTAGGAGAGAGAGGTGTTGGACCTGCAGGCTGTCCCCAAGCCTCTTATCTGGTCATCCTATCACTCTGCCTCAGCAGGTTCTAACATGGCTGGGGGCCTTTTCTCCAAGGTGTGGGTGGGTTGGAAAAGGTATAGGGGGTTATGGGGTGTCTAATTACCCGTAGGATGACCTCACCTCCTTGATGTTTGTTCATCTTGACAAGGCTTGCTCTCTGGGATCCACCCTCCCCCAGCCCCAGGAGAGGGTATCTCCCAGTCCCCCTGCTCATGTCACATGGCTGATACCTTCCATGACCTACATCCACCTCTAAGAACCAGTATCTCCCCCTACTTGCCTCAGTGCCCCTAGATGCCAGCTGCCCCCTGCTGGACAGCAGGGTGAATAGAGGTACCCACAGGGGTATCCTCTTTTCCTCCTACTTCTGCCAGGCACGCACAGGGCTATGGTGGAAGTCCAGGCAATGATGGCCCCTCTCCTTCCTGCTTCCCATCCCCACCTTCCTCAGGAGCTGTCAGCCCCGAGGGGCATGGCAGCCTGGCACCTGGTTTGAGCCCTGCGGAGCTGGGCACAGGGCCCTGGACTCTGAACCTGTGACCCCTTGCTGTGTACGGAACTTGCCTCCTCCTGGGGGCCTTGGACCCTCTCCTTTTCTTCTTTTAGGGGGTAACTTCATTTATTTCTCCTCCTTCCATTTGCCTCTCCCACCAATTTTCCTGTTTTAAACCGAATGGCACGAAATCGTTTTCCTCACCTTGGAGATTCCTGTATGGAGAGAATCAATTTCTATATTTGCAATAAATTTCTTATTTAAAACAACAGGGTGGAGGTTTGCATCGAGTGCACTCAAGTTCATGGTGTCCCTTTCTCATGTCTTTTCCTGGCTAACAGAGCTGAGTAGATAGTGTCATCATGGAGGGCTTAGCAGGGAATTTTGGGTTTCCCTTCATTTCCACTACCCTACCCTGCCACAAGAACTGAGAAGTCACTCAGCATGGTGCCTTATCTGTGGTGCTGGCCTCTCTCATGCACATCCCTGGGGAGGCACATAGTCAGCAGAAGGAAAATTGCCCTAGATTAATCACGGAGCCCCGTTTGTTCCAGACCACTTTCCCCCTCCTGCCCAGATGGAACCCTAGGCTGCCTTTGGACCTGGACTGGGCACCTATCCCTGGACCCTGATCACTCCTCTGCTGTGCCCTTTACCATCTGCCATCTTTTCCTAATAGCTGTGGGCCATCCCCACGGGTTCCTGTGACCAGACAATGTGGGTTACCATGCCAGGTGGGGTCTCAGGCTTAACTGTCAAACCTTTGGGGCCAGAGTAACCACTGTTCAGCCCCTCCCTCCCAGAGGCACGTCCCTTCCCTCAGGCTTCTTTTCCTCCAGCTGCTTCACACTCCCCTGGTCAGAAGTGTGCCCCATCCCACTTGGGCTGGATCACTGAAGACCTTTTCTAAGTGGGCTCCCAGGACACAGGCTCCCCTATGAGGGATGACACATAGTACTGTTGTGAGTGCTGATTATAAATGCTAGGGATGTGGCTCAGTTGGTAGAGTGCTTGCCTAGCACACAGGAAGCCAGCCCCAGGTTCCATCCCTAGCACCAAGCGTGACAGTGATGCCTGTAATCCCAGCACTCTGTAGGTAGAGGCTTTGGCTATATGGGGAGTTCCAAGCCGGCTTGAGATAGATGAGATATTGTCTCAAAAGAAAAGAAGGAAAAAGGTTTTAGAATAAATTTAAGCATGGACATTGAGTGACAGAGTCCAGAAAAGGACTGTACATACATTCTGGACAAGAGTCCCACTTCAAGTCTTAATAATAACCATGAACACGGTCTGGGTGAGTTC